TTAAATACTATCTAACCAAATCTCTTAGGTGTCCGTGTCTGCAAATCTTAATATATGTTGTGTTAAAATTTAAATTGAACTAATTAAGTACCGCCATTATTCCGATGGATTATAAGATGTTACATAAAATGGGTTACAAATAGCAATCAGACAGTGATCTTTCACGTCCAAAGTAAGTTTGTGGAATCTCTTTTCTGCTCTTTAGAGGGAAAAATTGCTTTTCTGTTAGCCATGAGTTGGGTGGGTGGAGAGATTATGTCATCCCAGCCGTTAATCTGATTATGCAATTTGAAAAGGAGTAGCCATTGAAACCTAGGACCTTGTAAATATATTACACCCTTTTTTGGCAGACTGCCTGCCTAAGTTGGAGGTTTTGTTGAAGAGACAGAACACAATCACTTTGATTGGATGTTTTGGAACAAAATCTAATCAAACATTATTTTAAGATTTAGCTGGCGACAAGTTCGGTCAAAGGTTTTTATTTTCTTTTTCTAATTGATTGATTACTGTAACATTTCTTCTATAACATGAAGTTTTGCTGTTTGAATTATATAAAATTATAGAATTAAGATGGTAAAATTTTTTTTTGGAACAATTTATAATTTTGGAGATTTGAATCTAGTTTTAAGATTAATGAGATGCACCTTATTATGAGGTATAGAGTTGTAGTCACAAAGTTTAGGTGCAATTAAGATGATAAATTTAATATTAAAAGGTTATTTTATTTAATAATTTAAAATTTATTGTTTATATTATATAATATATTTTTATTTTTTTTTATAAAGTTCTTATTGAATTGTATACTTTAATTAACATGACAAATTTGAATTTACTAAGTTCACACATTTATGTTAATATATTATGCAGAAGGCTGGAAGCAAGTGGCAAAATCTGCTAGGTTATGTCAATAACACCAAGTGCGGGGTTGGACTTGGACCCAACTTAACCATTTGAAATACATTAATATTAGTATATGCAGAAGCTCTCTACTCATTATCTTGCTAACTTTATCTTATCTAGAAAATACAAGAATGTATATTCTCCCCTGAATCACTGGATCCCTTCTTGATTGAGATTTAAATGTATCTAGCTAGCACATTCAATCAATGAAGTACACATATAGACAAAAACTCTTCAGTTGGAGAATCTTCACGTACCCGTACACATGTACATGCCACGAGGAATACATATATGCATACATGCATTGAAACATCATAAACAACTTCAAAATTCTTCTCTGATTTCCAGTTATGTCCAAAGTTCAAATTTTATTTGATCATCTTACTTGCCTCGAGACATTTCCCCCCATATATGACACCATGCATTTGTGGAAGTGCCTCTTTTTTATTTTATTTTAAGTTTATATAGACTTGCATGGATATATACGACTTGATATATATATATATATATATAATACACACACACATCCATTTCCTTTTACTTGCTTAATTGATCACTCCATGGAAACATATACATCAACATGAACTATATTCACTGCTTGCTTTTATGAAAGCAGCTGATCCATAGTAAATATGAAAATTAATGAAATAAAAAAGAAAAAAGAATGAAAGAAAACCCTCCAACTTTATCATGACCATCACTATCTCTCTTTAAATGACAAAAGTGGGAGAAAGAGGAACTCAACTCACGCCTTGCATTGTACGGTTAACATTGCTCCATTTCTTCACAGTTTTTTTTTTGAAAAAAAAATTCATTTTCATGATATCATTGTAGTACATACACATCTCCATCACTCTCAGTACTTTTGTTTGGCCGATCATAAAATAAAGAGAGAAAGAGTGAATGAGAGCAGAGAAAAAAAAGCTTCGATAATCGAGCAGAGCCAGAGGGAAGTGTTAGTATTGGTACGCCATTCTATGCATCTCATCTTTTCTTCACCTCTCCTCCTTTGCCGCTTCCTTGTCTCCTCCATTCTCCAAACACGCCAAAACCTTTCTTCAATTTCCTCTTCTCCACGTGGTCGTAGTAAGGGCTTTTCTTAATAAATGTGGTAAATGATATGCTTAGTCATCAATCTTTAGCATTGCTTGCAAAGTCCTCCTCAATCTTTGAAACCAAACAATTCAATCATTAACTTACCCTTTCAAAATTATAATATAGTCGGCTTTTTTTTTGCTTTAGTGTATTATTCCAGCCATTAACTCAAGACAAAAAGGAGTATAAATAAATCATTATTTATACCCAAAAAATTTAAATAGGATTCTAATAGTAACAAATTCATTTATGACAATTGCAACAAAATAGCACAAAGTAATAGAACAAAATAAGAATTTCATAAGCTAAATTAGGTGTGTTTAATTTCCACTACTAAAATTCCAACCTTCAGCAACATAGGAGCATGTTGCTAAAAGTGCTTGCAATGTAGGTAAAAACCTTTCAGCAACATAGCTTTTGTTGCTGCAAGCTTTGTTGGAAAAGCTTTGGTGTTGCTGCAAGCTTTGTTGGAAAAGCTTTGGTGGCTGATATATTAACAACAAGGGGTATGTTACTGATATATCAGCAACAAAAGCCACGTTGCTAAAACTATATTTTTAGCAACGTGGCTCATGTTGCTGAAAATTTAAGAGAAATGGTGGTTTTTCAGAAGGTGATTTTCCCTTTTCCATTTTCAGTAACAAGAGTCACGTTGCTGAAAGTTCAGGAATAGTACATTCCCTAGTTTTCAGCAACGTATGTCTTGTTGCTGATATTTATTTGCATACTTCCACCCATATTTGCTGATATTAATTAACTACATTAATAAATTTTAGCTTAATTAATGTAAATTAAATAACATTAATTAATTAATGTCTTACTATGTATTTTACCAAACTTGAATTTTATTTTATTAAGAATTACATACAAAACAAATAAAATAACAAAATTATTAATTACTAAAGATAATTATTTATAAATATATTAACTTCCAAATAAATTAATAACTACTTAATAATGTAATATTTACAAAAATATGATTTAAATATAGTTAAAGAGAATTGATGGAATATCTTCAATTATTAATATATATATATATATATATATACGTATGGATGACATGTGCTAATAGAGGTAAAAAAAAAAAGGAGCTGAGAGGTGCAACAGAGGATGTTGCAGCAGGCCGGGGCATTTGAAGCAGGCTGGAGGATTTGCAGCAGACCACACGAGGAGAAGGAAGGCATGCGGGAGGAGAAATATTGCAGAATTCATAGAGAAGGGGATTTGCAGCAGGCCACGCGAGGAGAAGGAAGGCTTGCAGGAGGAGAAATATTGCAAAATTCATAGAGAAGGGGTTGGGGTATATAAATAACTTTCAGCAACATAGCCTTTGTTGCTGAAAGTTTACCCTTTATTAGCAACCTATACCATGTTGCTAAAACTCATTTGAATTTGAATTCGTTTACTCATCACAGACATGTATTATATTGCTAAAATTTAAAATAAAAAAACTCTCGCCACACTATCAAATGATTAAATTTTAAATGATTAAAATTTTTAGCAACATAGTTCTTGCAAGAGACATATTGCTGAAAATGGAGTCCTTATTTGGGGAGGAAAGTGTGGTGTAGGGCTACCAGAAAATATCAGTAATATGGGGTATGTTGCTGACATTTACTTTCAGCAACATACCCCTTGTTGCTGAAAATGGAGCAACTTTTGGAGGGGAGAAGTGTACTGCATAGCTTTCAGCAATTAAAACCTTGTTGGTGATACAATTTTTCAGCAAGGATTCCATGTTGCTGATATTTGTTGCTAAAAGTCAAAATTTTAGTAGTGTTCTGCAAGGCAAAGAGTTTGTCATACGACTTCCTAAGTGGATTTCGAGGGTTAAATTAATGTTTGTTCCCATTTTTTTAATGTTTTATTGTAAGTTAATCAAATTTATGGATAGAAAGGACTAAATCGAAAGTTTTAAATGTTACATAAGGACCCAATTGCTCATATTCAAGAATCAAGAACAACTTTGTAAATGAACCTAAAATTTGAGGAGGAGTGATTAAAATTACAAGTACGCATGAAAAATTAATTATACTATCACATAAAACATTGCTTTATTTATTGCCTTTCTCGTCCCCACTTATTTTCCTCCACCAACACGCAAAATCTCTCCTCTTTCATTTCACCATGCAATCTGCTTCCTTCACCTACAACATCTCCTCGAGTGAGAGTGCTTGTTTGGAAACTGACGATCAAGAAGTAGATGAAGAGTCCATAATTTTATCCCTCGGCCCTCCAGGTCAACGCGTTTCCAAACATCCCAAATGTCAGTCCTCCTCAAACCACTACCCTCCCAATAATCAAAACCCTAATGAAAACAATGGTGTAACAGTGGCTCTCCATATTGCTTCACCAACAAATTATGAAGCCAGTCCCAGCAACCGTAATAGCAATGGCGGTCTGGTTGAAGGGCAGTATTGGATTCCATCGCCTTCACAAATCCTTGTCGGTCCAACACAGTTCTCTTGCACTGTCTGCAACAAAACATTCAATAGATACAACAATATGCAGGTTAAGAGAATGAATAATGCATCTTCGTTATCATTTTCCTTTTTACAGGTATTATAAGCGGTAGAGTGACCTTGCGCCCAGGGCCGCTGATGAGATCTTTTTTTTTTTTTTTGTCAGTCTAATTCGTTTAAAAAGTTAAATAATTTGTTAAATTATATATGCATATATGCATATATGCTTACGCATTAGTTTTCTTCACTAGCCTTTACCAATCTTATATGTTGGTTACATTTGTGTTTTTGTTAATTTGTACATAGATGCATATGTGGGGGCATGGATCACAGTACAGGAAAGGTCCGGAATCCTTACGAGGGACAAAACCAGCTTCGTCAATGCTGAGGCTTCCGTGTTATTGCTGTGCTGAGGGTTGCAAGAACAACATAGACCATCCAAGATCAAGGCCGTTGAAGGATTTCAGGACATTGCAGACTCATTACAAGCGAAAGCACGGAGCAAAGCAGTTCGGGTGCAGGAAATGCAGCAAGCCTTTTGCAGTCAGAGGAGATTGGAGGACTCACGAGAAGAACTGCGGGAAGCTCTGGTTTTGTATCTGTGGGTCGGATTTCAAGCACAAGAGGTCCCTAAAAGATCACGTTCGTGCGTTCGGAGAAGGTCACGCCGCACACACGACCGAGTTTTGTGCTGTCGATGATGAAGAAGATGGTGAGAATGAGGAAGAACATGAAGAAGAAAGTAACCAAAATCCTCTTTTCTTCTAATATACCAACGGAAGTTCAACCTTCTAAGTTTAATTTGATCATTATCATAATTAATTAAATGAGATGATAAATTAATGTCTCTCTTTAATTTGTAGAAATTAAACTAGTTTTGATTATCTGATTAGTTGTTCCCATGATTCTTGCATTATTAATCACTAATTAGAATATGTAGATATTTTTAAGCATGAAATGAATTTTGTTTTGGGAAGTTGGTGAAGTAAATTGAATGTGATGTGGGTAGCTAGAGATAAGAGAGAGTGAGAGAGTGAGAGAGAGAAAGAGAGGGAGAGAGCAGACATTGCATACAGAGGAGGAACAGTGGAGTCACAGAAATCTACTGTGGATGGCTAGGCATTTGCCAAAGAAATCGCGGACTCACTCTCTTTAGCGTTGGTTCTCTCTCTCATGCATGTGTCATAAGCAAGTCAAGTATGAATGCAAGTACTGAGAGTGAGTCGTTTTTTATCTGAGTGTGTCTGATCTTGGACTACCACACTACAGACACTTTGATGGAGGCCCTTTTGTCAGGGACCACTGATTTTACTGTTTTTGGGGTTTCACCCAAAGGGATGCCTTTTCTTCTTTTCAGAACAATTACATTCAGATACTCCCCACTCTTCTTTCTTTCTTTCTTTCTTTCTTTTTTTTTTTTTTAAGTATATACTACCATATATAAATATTCATTTTCAGGCCTAGCTCCTTAATTACTAAGAAACTCCACTGGATCACGGATATATTACAATGTGTGTGGAGGAGAATGCAAGGTCTTGGATGGTCCACACCTCTCCTGCTCCTGGTGATAGACATTATTATCTTTTGTCGGACGAGATTGACATTAATTCAGTACGTTGTACTGTATTTGTATCTGGTTGCTGCAGGTTAATCTGAACATCGATCTTATGTAGGAAGAGAAAACAAAAGTGTACATATACTTGTTACATATGAAGAACATATGAACAAACACTTTAACTGGAGTGAATTTGTGACCATTAATTTGAATGGTGAAAAATCAACAAAGTGAGATCAGGTCGTGGCAGCACGTATACTGGCTTGCCATTATTGGCCTGCAGAAAATGAAGAGAAAAAGAGATGCTGGCTTGCAGAAGAAAAAAAAAAAAGAGAAAAAAGTTAAAAGAGAGAAATGGTGATGCTGGTTTGCAGAAACAGGAAGTTAAAAGAAAAATGGAGATGCGGATATCGATCCCCATAGCTCTCGCATACTCAGAAAGCACTTTACCATCTGAGCCACATTCCCACTCGTTCTTTTCTTTTCACAGAATTTAATAATAACATAAGCATCAGAGAAAGAATCTTTTTCTTTCTGGGCCGACGAGCTAAAGTTAAAATGTTGAATGTACTGTTAATGGGCTGGTGTTTCTGGATTGATGATTATAAATGGGCCAAGCCTCAGGCCTGTCTGCAACGCATCCTGAGTTATGGGCTCTCCTGGGAGTTCGGAAATCCAAGAAAACCCCAAGTTTTTCATAAGAAATTCTAACACACAGGTTCTGTTTAGTATGTTTAGGGTAATGCAAATTAGTCAGATAAATGCTACTATATATCCCTCTAACTTACATTGGTATTTTTGTGTATTAGATGATGAATTACACAATAAGAGATAGCTTTTCTCTTCCCAAACTTCTCTTCGCCTAGTCCAAAATTCGAATTTGAGATCTTTGATATGAATATTTAAGCTCTTGATTATATGGACGTCCCTGAAGGTCTAAGTTACATTGGTTTGTAGAACTTTGTTATATAAATATAGCTACCACCACAATCTAATAAATAATCCATTTTCGCTCAAGTTGGGGCAGCGCAAGTTGCAGGAGGATTAAGGGTACTTACTGTTACTTGTAGGATACCTCACAGGTCACAGCTAAGCTAAACTCTTCTCTTAAGACACGTTAGTGCAACTCATGTCAAACCTTCCAAAATATAAGAAAGGGTTGTGTTGTATTCATCCATGAATTCCGGCTAATTGCTGTTATGTTAATGTTGGGACGAGCTTCCAAAAAGAAAGTTCGTGAAACATTTTATAATTACGGAGACCAACTACAGCCTTGAACATATGTTATTTGGGAAAATCTCAGTATGCGTTTAAAGAGGGGAACTTATCGAGTAAGTAAAAGAAAATACCATCAAGTGAGTAATATAGGAGCGTAGCATCAAGATTTTGATTTGAAAATGGCAGCTCTGACTAATTAAACAAAGAGATGTTGACAATAGCTAGCTCGTGAGTTTGACATTGTTACATTAGATTTGCAATGTTAAAAGTATTTAATTATTTCATAAACATTGTATACTCACTGCTTTCCAAAGCTTCATGGAACCAACTCATATTATTCCCTTTTTTTTTTAACAATTCAGTGGTCATAATGTTGTGATAGTACAAGTATTGCCAGCAGACTCTTTATGGGTTAAAAAAAAACATATAATTAAGTTTCATTTTTGAAGAAAAAAAATAAACAAGATATAGAAAACCAATAATTTGAGGTACATGTGGTTGAAATTGTCTTGCCCTAGATCTGAAGTATCTTAGCAATTTGAAGACTTCACACGATATCCAATCATTAAGGAGAGGGATTTAAATTTGCATCCTCCTAACATGTTGACATGCCACTTAACCATTAATTCAATCAGTTCGTTCTGCTCCACATTCAATATGGTATATTATGTTGATTTAGAATTGGGAGAGGAATTGAAATCAGCTCTTGGTCTCAGAGAGGGGAAAAGGTGCATCAACCATTAGGCCTAGGTGACTTTGTTCTTGATGCTGAACTTGTTATAAAAAGAAGTATCATGGTACCAAATTATGTAAATGACAAATAAATATATAAAGTGAAAATTAAGACGTTTTAGTATTTAAAATATTGAAATTGCTTGTAAAATTGTTTAACTTTTCTTAATAAATTTTTTTGGGTGTTAATTTTATTAAAAATGTTTAAATTTTTTCATCATCGTTCTAAATATTTTAATTGTCAAAATATTTCGATTTTCTACAATACTTTTTAAAAGTTGATCATATTAATTTTTCAAACTCAAAATTTTGCACACAGAAATGTGTTAGGTAACCTCTAATTTCATGGAGAGAATTATTGTAGAGACGCCCATAATAAGACATAAATTAGTGCGGCATCCATCCTACTTGTTACAAATGTGGGAATCCAAAACCTAATTGTTGGTTTTCTGCATCATGTCACTTGCCGTCTTGTTGTGATGTTATCCAGCTCTAATGCCTTTTTAAGGAAGGCAAAAAGTGAATTGAACGTGTCACAAAAGCCAAACATCTTTAACGTTATTGGATAAATCATGACCCGCCCCTATTACTGCCCCAGGTAGCACACCCATTACCAAAAACCTCTTTTTCAACACTTTTTTCCAGGATTAATTTAGTGATTAGGATGTTTTCCAAATAATTTTTTTCGCTAAACTTAAAAATAAATTCTCTTAAATCTAATCAAATAAATATCATTTATTCTAAAATTAAAAAATTAAAAAAAAAAAAAAAAACTACCTCTTAATTAACCTTATCAAAAAATAAATAAATAAATAAATTTTCAACCGAAATAAACCTTCTTTCTTTGCCTAATCATTCTCTTTCTCATTCGTCATGACGCACCCAGATATTTTGCGGAAAACAACAACACCAGAACCATACAAAGTAACTAACATGAAGATTAGAATAAAAACACTTTGGCCAAGACATCATCAGAACTTAATTGACAGATATCCATTCTAGCTAGTTTCTTCCCTTTCTCTCTCTCTGTCTCTCTTTTTTTTTTTCTTATTTCCTTGGAAGAACTGTATTACATCACTGATTAAAACTTAATATTTTCAGCTTTGTTTTTTTTGTAATATACAAATTACCCGTTTACAACTTGCACCTAACTGACCTAAGCAACACCACCCCCTCCTCCTCCTTCATCCTCGTCCCTACACTACACCTTCTCGACATTCACAAAAATATCCTTTAAAAAAAAAAAAAAAGAGCAGAAATTAAAACCAAAAAAAAAGGGTGTTACAAGGCATTGATTACCCTTTGCTTCTTTCTACACTCTAAAGACAGCAGTTCTATGTCGTTCATCCTCTTCCCATTACACCCACCAACGTTATCACAAACACCATTCCCTGGGATATTAAGGATGTTGACTCCAAACAGCCTCACCATCTGGACCGGGCCGGTCTGGTTCTCCAATCCGAGATGACCAGATCCCAGCCCGGTCCGAGCTTTCCAGTCTATGTAAAGTTGCTTCTCCGGTCCTGTTGATCTCTGAAAGCAAACAAAGTCCCCAGCTTTCAGGTTCTTCTCCTTCACGAACCGGCTCCACCCCTTGGTCAAGACGTAGCTTTGACTGCTGTTCCAATATGAATACCTGAACCGCCAAACTTTCCCCGTGACATCCTCGAAATTCAAGAGAACTCCTTTTGAAGAAGCGCTCACGGTTTGCAGGGGGAAGTGTCTTTCTGCGTGCTGTTTGGGTATCACAAGCCGGTTCAGCTTCCCGACGTCGCTCGGAGTAACCGCCTTTTCAAAAAGCAGTTCACGCGCCTTCCGGTCCGGACCGAACGTACCTGCGCCGCCGCCTTCTGTCCTGGCAACGCGCTTTCCATTCGCGTCGAAGCCGTAGCTCCGCCGGCTCTGCTCCAACTCGTCGCTGTAAGTATGTTTCCTTAACATGTCGACGATCTCCACTTTGGAATGCGAATTCAGGAAAGCCATTTCGACTTCGTCCCCTTCAGTTTCCTGGAGGTGCTTGAAATTGGTAACGGCGTCACGGCCGCGGAACCTCTGCACGGCGATATCATAGGCTCTGGCGGCCTCGTCCTCCTCGTTAAAAGTACCAAGCCATACACGCTGGTGCTTCTCGTATATCTGCGCACCCCACCGGCCATTGGGCTGTGGAACCACACCTTTGTACTTAGAACTCGGCAGCTTCCTCGACTCAGCTTCAACTCCACCTTCAGAGTCCAGAATCACGCTGTTCCCGCTCCCCATCCGGTAGAGAGACTCCGGCGACTTGGTCAATCCAGGAAAAACAGAGACATTCGATGGAGAAACTGAAATTGATACAGAATCACTAGTCGTGCTCTCATCTATGCAACTTCCATCCATGATACAACTCCAAAAGAAGAAAGAAAAAGCAAAAAGTGTTTTGTTTTTGCTGTGTGTTTCTTGACAAACAAGGTATAGTAACAGAAAGGAAGAGAAACTGAGTTATGAGATGAGTTTGAAGAATGAAGAGTATGTGTCCTATGTGTGTGTGTATATATATAGAGAAAGGTAATTAATTAATCGAATAAAATAAAAAAAAATTCAAAAATTCTTAAGATAATATCAAATGGATTTAAATGGAAAGGAAATAATGAAAAAAAAAAAAAGAGGAGATATGAGACGTGGTAGGTCAACCCGGAAGAGAAATGGTGGGGAATGGGGATGGTAAGGGGAGAGAGGAAGGAAGGAACTAGGAAAGGAAGATTCGTAGGGGATCGGAGGAGGGGAGAGAGAACTAGTCTAGTAAAGGGGGTATGTGTATGTTGTGGGCAAGTGTTATGTGGGGTGGGGACCCGCATGGGGCAAATTGATGGGTTTCACATGAGTGTGGACCTTGTTTAGTTTTAAGTTCATCCCCCCTTGTGCTTTGCTGCTGGCCAACACCAAATCGCTCCGGTGGTACTATTTCTTTAAAAAATATATATATATATATTAATATCTACTAATCACGTTAAAATCATAATTAATTTAAAATTTTTTTATATTTAATCTTAAAAAAAAATTCTAATATCTATCTTTTTATTTATAAGATTTAAATTTAAAATCTTATTTTAAAAAATTAAATTTTTTTTATTCAAAATAACAAATAAGTGATACAATTTCTCATTCAGTAACCAACTTTTTTTGTTTTGTTTTTTTTTTCTTTTTTAACGTGTAGAATTGGATTAAACACAAATTTATAACTAAGTGTTTAAAGAATTTTATTATCAGTTTATACGGTGGGTGGGTGAATATCATTTATTACTATTATATTGTTACTGTATATTGAAAACTACTCCCCAATCAGTTTTTAGCGTAAACATTTTTCTGTTTTAATTGTGGTTTTATACTGTAAGAAATTATAGAACGCACACCCGTTAAATTGACAGTTAGTTCTTAATAGTAAGAGGTTTGTTTAGTATATAATTATTTAATATTAATTATATAATATTTTTTGTTTAATAAAATAAAAATATAGTAATTAATTGTTAAGATTTTATATTTATATCTAATTAATTACTATTTACATAAAATAAGTTTTTTATTTAAATAACCTCAATTTTTGAAGGAAAAAAAAATCGTTAAAATTTTATATAAATGTAATGTATAAAATTTGTACATAAGTGAGTTTTTATTTTTATTTAATATTTATTATAATTATCTTTTTAACATAAAAATAAAATAAGAATAATTGTATTAAATGAAAATTTTAAAAAATAAACAATTAAATTTCAATACCTCAAATTAAAAATTAAGTCTAATAAAATTAAACAAATAGAGTAATAATAAGATTGATAATTATAGTTAAAAAAATAATAAAATTAAAATAAAAAAATTATCTTCTTTAAAATATATATATATATATAAACTATTGTATTTACAAGGTGTAGTAATTTTGAATAATTTTAAGGTTTATTTATTAATTTGACATAATGTATTAAATATAAT